GTTAAATATTCAGAACGTAGAACAAAACTGACAAGCAACAATTTTAATCTGTGCATCAAGGGTGTCCTCGTTCTTTAGGGTGCTCGAGGCTTTCATAATAGATGAAGATGGTGGCTTCGATGTTCAGAGGGGCATCTTCAATATTCAAAGATGCGACTTCAATATTCAAATTGACCGAAGCTTGCGGATAGGGGAGTCGAGTGTAACTTGTGATGACAATCTGACTGAAAAATTCACATTCCCATCTCCAAACGAATTCTTGATAGGATTTTAATTAATTAGATGAAACTTGTATTAAAAATATTTGTCAACCGATAGTGTAGGTACGTATGTACGTGTCCCTTAAGACATGGCAGTCGATTAAAATGGCAGGGAAGGCGTTAAATCTTCTCCGAGCGAATGAGTTTGAAAATTCATTGGATTTCCCGGAGAAACGGGAAGTAGGTAAGTACTTGGCTCTCAGTGGATAATTCGTGAAGGAAGAGCGGAGGTAGACAAAATGCAGACTCGTCGGGACATTAGAAACCGATCGCAGACGGCGAAGATCATCCGGTGAGCGTAGAATTTACCGGAGCAGAAGTAACAGCTGGTGTGCTTGTGACAGCAACCCCTCTATCCCTCGATTGGAGCACATCGCCTTCCGTTTTCACCGCAACTTACCATCCCCCCCCGTGAACGTCCCAGACATTCTACTGTACCTGACGTTTGCAATCTTCCGGAACTCTTGGAAAATTATAAACACCGACGATTTTTGCCTCCTTTTTCTTTCATCGTTAATGAAAGTGGTTTAAATTCGATTCAAGCGTGTAGAAATAATAAATAATTGTTCTTCGTTCGTAGCAAGGGAAAATGGGTGGCGCAACGACGCGGTTATGAATGGGAATATGAATAGGGCGAGGGTGGAACGTTATTGGTCCGTTGGTCCATCAGATGGAACCAACCCTTAGCGTTGAAATATCATATCTCTCCGATGATACGCCCCCACGGTATGCTCCACCCCAAGGGACAATAATTTAAGGGCAGCAGGGTTGGTCGTAACCGCCATTGCCCCGAAAAAAAAAAAAGAAGAAAAATGAAGATCCGAGGGGTAACGACCTGACCAGCACGGACTTTGGTAAAATTTAAGAAGTGGATAGATTAATCGGTTAGGAAAGTTAACGAAAGATGTTAAAACGATCGGTATCATAATTGAAGGAAGAGTAGAGGAAGCGGAAAATCTTGACGTCACCGTGGAGAAATCTTTGGAAGTCTTGGAGGCCGCCAGGAATGCCAACCCTCCGGCCTCATTAACATCTCGCGTTTCCATCAACCCTTAACCCTTTTCACCCCTCGCCTCAAGGAAGCCGTCTTCATTCGTACGGGTTTCCTTTCATATCTTCGCGCGGGAAACGCGTATTTTCTAATATACAGAAACGAAGAACAGCAAATTGGTAAAAACATTTGCTTGGCGTGGAAAAGGATCCCTCGCTTGGAAACGATCGGAAATTTAAAGCCGCTATTCTCACTTTCAGCAGTACGTTTGCCGGTGAGTGTGCGAAAGAAATAGACCCTTAATACGGGGAATTAAAGCACCCCATGCGCGCTGCTCAGCACGCGAGCAATCCCCCGCGAAATATCGGCCGTTTAAAAAAGGGAAGCGCGGTTTACGCGAGATACCCCAGCCCCGCGTTGGCCTATCAATTTATACGCGGCACATCGGGAAATCAAGCGAAGGAACCACCCCCACGTACCGTGCAGAAATCCTGGAAAGCGAACGGAGAGGGGGGGGGGTCGAAGCGTAGCGGCTCCGGGCTTTGTTTTATACTTACACCCGTTTCGGGATCGTGATGCATTCAAACGAGAAACTCCCCTAGATCCCGGCAAACTGCCGTAGGGGTAAGGGACGGGGGTGGCCATGGCGATTGCCATTTTTATTTCCCCGCGGTTTTTCCTCTTTCCAACCTGATTTTGATCCGCGCCAAAGGAAAAGTGAATCGAGCTGGAATTTTCTATCTCTACAAAAAATTCTAGTTCCCTTACCTTCTGCGTCTGCATCGTTTGTAAATGGATCCGTCGTGAAATGATCGAATCGAAGGTAAGTCGCGATCATGAGCAGCAGCTTCCTCGTCGCGGAGAAATGGCTTGCGAACGAATGAGCCGAATAACACCCCCTGTTCGTTACACCCCGCGAGAATAACGGCGGCAGTATCGTTCGGCAAATATTTCGATAAATCAGCGCGGTGGAAAACGGCACGGCAGCCGGTGGTAAGGTATACAACGCACACCTTAATGTCGCATAAATCTCCCACTGGAAAATTACACCGATGCGAGAGAGAGAAGGTTTTGCCGGAGAGGGAAACAGTGGCGAACGAGCGGCGAGAAGAAGAGGGAGGTAAGGAGAAAGAAAGAGTCAGAGAGACGTCGGTTCGGCGTTCGGGGGTGGGTTGGTGAGGCTCGGAGGGTGGCAGAGTAGAGGCAAGGCGCAGCTTCGAGAGATCCAGAGGGGTGTAAAGCGTAACGTTTCCCCTCTCTTTCGCCAAGACCAGCACCGGCAACGACGACCGAGAGAGTTTCCTCTTTCTCCAGCGCCATTGCAACCCCAAAGCCAGGGCCAGCAACAGCAGCAGCGGCAGCAGCCGCGGCGACGCAGCAGCTTTCCCCACTTCAGAAGAAAAGCACTTTCATAAATCTGCCAGCAGATATATGTGCGCACAATTTCCGAGATCCGGCCATTAAAGAGCCGCTCCTCCGTTCTACCCACCCCCTTCAGACTCACCCCTATGCCGCACCCGTGAAACAACTTCTACCAGCCTGCGAAACCGGCGTGAATCAGATCTCGATGAGATTTATTTCATCCCATATTTAAGATACACTACCTATCGGAAGCTTAGGATCTTTTTAACTTTTATCCCTCTTATCTTAATTTAGTTTCAATTTGACACCGTGTGATTTTCATTTGATTTTTTTCGTTTTTTTCTTAAACTATTCCTGTAAGTAGAAAAATTTCAACAAGTGAACATTTTTTTCAAACTGTTTATAGAATCTTAAGGGTGGCAGTGGACGTTAAATTGAAGAAAACAGTATCGAAAACGTTCAGTATCGTTGGCCCGGAGCTTGCAAGTAATTTTCTCCATGGTTATATCTTGATCTGCCTCCCTCCACTTCCGGTCGTTCAACCACCCCTTTGGTGCCTCGAAAGCGTGGCTATGAAGAATAAACGGTTAAGCAATGCCGGTGAACCAGCCAACCCCTTCAGCTTTTACCTCGACGAAAACTCAACACGTTTAGATAACGCCTCACCCTCCGGGCCAGCCTGCCGACACCAAGCGGCCACGTGGAGGTTCACCCCTTTCCCTTCTCGCTGAAAGACGGCTACCCCCGCGGACCGGCAAACACGCTGTAAACAGTTTACTTCTAAACCGGAGAGAGAGTTACCTATGTATTTTCAGATAGGGGTGAATTATGCCCGCCAACGCCCTCGCTGAACGTGGACCGTTTTTAAAGATTTATCCCACCCCTTGTCACGGAGGAGCTGCTTGATAAATAAGCGAGATACGACCAGTACCGAGGGCGTTCAGAGACCGGGATCGTTGAACGGAGATTCTTTTGATTTTTCTCTGAAGAATTGCTTCACCTTTTCTTGCAGTTATTCGAATACGACAGATCGTTTTCGTCGAAATCGGCAATTCATTTATCTTTTTTATTTACCCTGAAAATTCCACGACTCATCTTCCTCATCTTCCCTTAATTACTCCCCCCATGTCCCTGCTTCTCTGTGCCAGCCATCGAACGATATCGTTCCAAGTTCCTCCGACTGCGAAGGGCGGTCTGTATCGTCCGACCTTTGAGGGAGTTAAAGGGGTGGAGGGATGAGTTTAGTTTCGCTAGGGGAAAACAGATGACCGACTTAACTGCGGCATATTATACGAATTAATTACCCCCCTCGTGACTGGCACGGACATATTATTTATCTCTACCCGAGTTTCCTACCCTGCCTTCAGGAAACATCCCTCGATGTTGGCCGGCTACCCTCATCGCCGGACGAGCCGGCATCGTTTGTCTATCTTTCTATATCCACGCTCGAGTAACTCACAATTCCACCTTGAAACCGGGACAAAGGGCAGCAGCAAGTTTGCTCGAACCACCCCCCTCGCCAAGCCATCCTCGTAGATAAGGGGAAACTTCTTTCCGGGGGTTTTAATCGGCCCGCTTTTTGCCTCAAGATTTCGTTGCCTGAAACGCTGGATAAAATCGATCCACCATTATCTTTGTTGTTCTTTTTACCTTCTGTGTTTCTTTATCTTTCTTATTCTTTGAGAAAATGTCACTCTGTTTTCCGCTGCTACAGGCTGGTTGAAGATAAGGGTCTAAGAGGGTTTAGGGACTTACAATGTCAACCTGAAGTCGAAGAATTTATTTTTAATATATATTTTATTTACCGGTAATTAATTACGCTAATAATAAGTAACGTAAGGAACGTGTACAACAGTGTTCCTAGATAAAGTATCGTTAAAACAGAGGGAGAAAAGGAGGGATGGTGGAAAATAAAGGACGAAAGGAAAAATCGATATGGAGTGGGCATCAGCTTCCAGCAACAATCAAATTCGACGAAGAAGGAGAAAGTTTAGGATACAGCGACAGCTCTCGCCTCTCAGCGAAGTTGAACGCGAAACGAAATAAAAAGGGAGAAAAGGGCTACAAAGGGGATATTGCCCTGCTACGTATAAGCTCACCGAGAGATCGTTAATTCTGGCTGGTGATTACGATCTAAACGAAAGGAACGCGGCTTGAATAACTAGCTACGCTTTTCGACACTTCTTTAAGGATTTTCTTTCAGAATTTTTATTTTCTTTTTAGAATAATGACAATCCCTTGGAACTAAAAATATTATATTTATTATATATTGATATTTTTTCATTTTATCATAAATGATAAATTTTCATATTAAAAAAAGAAAAACGATGACACTAGTAATTTTTCTGAGCAGTGTATTTCATAAGAAAATATTTCTCTGTTCACAGTTAGTGGGGTATCTATCCGCCAGAAGGGTAGCCATCGCATAGCAGAGAGAACTGGCCCAAAGCGTTGAGTCTATTTGGCTGAGCAAAGCACGATTCTCCGTCTGAGCAGCATCCTAGTCTCGAGTCTCACCTGTATCCCGGACGAAAGGGGGGTTGGAAAGGAAGGAAGAAGGGTGGAGAAGGCGAAATAGATCAGGATTGCAATCCCCACCAGACGGTTATTTCCCCTTCTCGCGGTCGCGCCGAAGGGGTAGGAAAGCGGACGAGGGGGGTAGAGGTCGGTTGTGGCTGCGTTGAACGGGGTGTCGGCGGCCCCGCCCGTCATATTCCGCCAGGGCCAATCCCGCGTGTGCTTTTTATTAGATCCATAAATCCATCATATCGTCGTTCAACCCTCCCGACAAAGCAGCCATTGGCCAGGCTTATGAGTACGCGACGTCGCCGGCCGAAAACTCGGAACACCGTGTTTATGGCGTTGGCGCATTGCGGACGTTCCTTCAGACCCGCCTTGTTATTAATATTGAATTTTTAGCCGCGAACGAGACAAGAAGGTACAGCTCTGCCGGTTGATATAGAGATGGCGCAAGCGCGCTATCCAAACCGTGTTCGGTCCAGTTCGGCCAAGAGGAGACCAGAGAGCAACGCACAGCCCTCCTACCTCCATCGTCCAACCGGAACTCGATCGTTTTCTCTCTCCGTAGGCCGAACATCGAGAGCAAACAGCTGAAACAACCATCTTAAAAGATGTATCGCGAGCAACCGTGATGATCGGGCTAGCGCGAGACTTGTAAGCGGGAAAGAAGGGTGAAATGGTAGCAGGCAAGGCTTGGAAAGAGACCAGGGGACTCCTTGACGGACGCGGAGATCAATAACCTCCGATAGCATACTCGGATAGCTATATACCGGGCCATTTCCAACGGCAATAAAACGCCATAGCTACGTGTATTGCGATTCTCTTGCCGGCCTCCTATTGGCCGTAAAACACTGGCCGGCTGAAAGGTTGAATTTTATCGTAGAGGGCGGGAGGAAGAAATATCGATGGGAAAAGGAGAACGCGGAATACATGCATCCGGGGGTGTCTTTCGCTCGGCTTGAATTGTTGCAGGGGTGCGTTCGTCCAACAGAGTATTTGATAGGACCGGGATAAAGAGTGGAAACGACCGTACCCCTCTCTGCATGCTTTATCACCTACCACCAAACTATACTACCGGAACATTTTTATTTTCTTTTCTTTTCTTTTCTTTATTCATTTATTTATTATTAGTCGAGTCCACTGTTAAGATTCTTAATCTTAAATGGAAAGTCTTGTTTTAATCAGAGTACTTTCTTCATATCAGGTCATCTAATTACCATCAATGATAATGGTGTTAGGAATAATACAGTAGGAACTTATTTCAACTGATAAGAGACAAGTATAAGAATTCGTGTGGGAAGATTTTATTTAAGCGCGCGAGTCGCGTGACAGGGTTGTAACGTGAGATCGATTCGGATACCCAAACATCGGGGACTGTTAGCTTTAAGTCGAGGGGTAGTAGATTGGGAAGCAAATCCATAGATACTGGATAGCGTCCTCTTGAACTGTGCGATGTTCATTTCACCCCTGTATCATTTACTTTCGTCGATCAACAAAAAAACAACGATGAAATTCTAACATTTAAACAAAAAATACAAGAAGCTTCCCAAACGACCCCTTATCAACGAAAAGTACTTCTAAAATTGGTATTTTCTTTATTTTCATGTAACTTTTTATTACAATTTCGAATAAGTTTGTAAAGTGTGGAGGATGTAAAGGTTGGTAGGGGATGAATTTCCATCTACGCAGAATCATACTCGGCGTGTATGAATATGAAGAAATGTGATGGAGCAACACCATTGGATGATCCCAGTCTCCAATCATAAAATAGCTCGATATGAAGCGGTGCTATGATATGATATTATCATAACGCGACTAGGGTTATTATTGGTCGAAGTCACCCTACTCCGCTTTTCCTTGCTCCTTCCTTTCTTCCGCCGTTCCAACCACCCCCGACGCATACGTTTCTCCAGCGTCGAGGTGGGGCTCAGCCCCGCCAGTCGTCTCTCAACCCTCTTCAAACCCCCCTCGTCTCTCAACCGCCCTCCAACCCCCCCGAATTATGAGGATCAATACACGAGGAAGCTTGCAAGGGCAGCGCCGACGCTACTCGCTTGTCGACCTCCTTCGAGCACGGACTCCCTCGACCAACTGGACCTTCCATAGGGTGATGGCTACTCCATCGGTCATCCTTGAATTATTTTTAAACAATGATGCACAATGGTAAACAAACTTATCTCGTTTGTGTTATTACCCCTTAGTACATGCCATCGTGTAAATATATTTACGACATTGCCTCTTTAACAAAATTAATAAAACATTAATAAATTAGCATCGAAACCCTCCTTACCGGAATTTCCCCACAGACAATTCAGTTTTTAATCTTTGATTGACCGAAAACAAAGCCGGTTAACCGAAGATTTCCAGATCCCCGAGATCTCTATCGAAATAATGAAATATGCAAACTTTCCCAGCCGATTTCTTCGTCCCCGAAGACAAAAGAATGCTCGCAGCAGCGATGGAAAGGCAAACGCACAAAACGAGGTAGTTGGTCCTCGAGAGAGGCAAGGGGTGAGAAGCAGGCCGAAAAACAGCCGCCTGAACTTAACCTCTACCCCTGGGCCAACTCGGGACGTATCAACTGGTGGGGTACAGGCTGAATAAAACACGCTGGAAAAGACGCGACGCGACGCGACGCTCCGCTGTTGGACACACAAATTCGCATAGGGGTTTGTGTCTGTGGTCTCGTATGTGCGTCGCTCGAGCATTATATCGTGGAACAATCGATACATGTCGACAGCACCACCAAGTCGCTGTCCCACGAACTAAGCCAACCATCCTCCGCATCTACACCACTCTGATCCTTATTACGTACATGATGCACCTATAATTAGGACCAACTGTAATATGTCAGAATTATTTATTTTATTATGATAACTGAACCGTATATTTATGCAGCAGTAATGTGAATCTAACTTCGACCTTCAGCCCCAGCGGAAAATTCTAAGTATTGTTAATATTTTAAGTTAAATCATTAGTTTGGACGATGGGACCACCTTAACCAAATAGAATGTAAATTTAATAAGTTCTAGAAGTCCCGTCGAGTATCATCAGCCGAGCAGCATACGTCGAAAGATATTTCCAAAGCCGCCCCAAGGTTCCTTGGTCCGAAGCCAAAGGTCGCAGCCTCATCCCTAGCGAGACTGGGTGCACCGCCAGCGGGCCACTCTCGGCGAGACATCCGCAAGCAACGGAGCAAAGGTGTCGGCGTGTAAGTATCCCCTTTTTCCAAAGGGGATGCCGTGAGTGGGAGGGTGGGAAAGTTGGGTGTCCGAGAGGTGGCAAGGCGACCAGGTTTCCCGGGCAAAAGGAGGAAGCCGAGTGAATTTTTTATCGGTAAAAACTCCATTAGAGAGAGAGAAGTGCCGGTGTTTGTTATTGGTCATCCTCGAAGGGAAGACGCCGAGTTGGAGGGGGTTTGTCCGGCGCAGAGATATCCATTGATCCGAGGGATGGTAGATCGCGAACGGGCTTGCATCCCCTCCGCCGCTAGCATCTACAATGTTCCTTTCATGCGGCCGCTATCAAAGAAATCAATTACCCGGTAACACGCGCGAGTTCTCTGTGCCCCGCTACGCTGCAACCAGCCTCCGGCAGCAGCAACACCGTTGCCCGTCGCACATATTTATTTTATACCGGGCCACTCCTCGCTACCCCCCTCCACCTCAACCGTCCAATCCTTTATCAACTTCCAGCAACTCCATCTTTTTCTTTCGCCACAATCCGTGAGAGAACCGTTTCCCAAAATCACTCGACGAGGATGCTGTCATTCCTGGGCTGCTATATAATCCGTCCAATGAGACGAGACAGTATATGTTTACAAATTCACGCGCTCGACGCACGGTCGGAGTTGTTTTCAGTTCTTCAAACGCCTCGGTCGAGGTATGTGTACTGTTAGTCGGGCTTGTTTCGAGCACGTGAATTTTTACGCATTTACTGTCTCGTCTCGTTGGATGGATTATAGATATGGACATAACTTTTTATTTACAATGGAATTGAAGATTTTATAATTTACACTAGAAATGTAGCCTGTGATCTTGTCCTCCGATGAAAGATTAAAATTAAGTTTCCAGATCAAAGCAGGCATGAAAGAGTTAATATCTCCGGTTTCTCGAAAATCAAGCGAATGCGACAGCTTGTGACAGGAGCGGAAGGGGGTGGGGAGGTGATCGGACAGGTGAACGAGCGAGGGTGGACCAGCACGATGAACGTCGACCGACTGCAGGAGACCGATAGGATACAGGGGTGGTGTAGGATCTCTTGACGCGTGCATCGATGTCCACTGGCTCCCGAGGGAAATCCACTTCATGATGGGAATCCCATTATTTCCCGAGCGATATAAAAGTAGGTAGTCCACGTGCTGTCCGGTTCAGACCATTCCGCAAGCCCCTCCGTCTCCTTCCACCCCCAACGGGTCGCTCTTTTTCTCCCTTCGCCATTGTCTCTCGATCCATTCGCAATTCATTCCGGGATTCGAGCCTGTCCACCGCCAAGACGACACCTAAACGACTAGTTTTTACATTTTCGATTAATACACCTTGCAGTCTCTCGGCTACAGTTTGAACTTATGTTTGGGAACCACATTTTTTTTTTTAACGAAGGGAAATGTTTTGTCAAAGTAAGAAATGTGCAGTTAATGAAATGTTATGGCAAAAGGGTTATCTTTTATCAGTAGTAAGAGAAAACATATTATTTTAACAATTAATTTAATAAGATGAAAGTGTATAAGCTTCATTTGCACGTTTTTTGGTATCGCAGGGTTGCTTTAAAATGCCACAGTCCGCGCCATCTTATAATGACTTGAAGAAACCAAATGGAAAACATACCATAAGATCTTTTTTTGTAGGAATTCTGTCTTATCGACGTTGTAACTAATGATAAAATGTGTCGTCCGCAAAATTATCTACAGGATTATGAAAATAATTAATTTATCATAATTTTGTTGATCGCATGGTGCATTAAAAATAACATTATCCATTAATGATTGTATTTAAATAGAATTTTATTTGTTTAAGAATATTTTGTACTCTAACGCTGTTCGAGGTTATGTATATTGTTATTTTACACTGCATTGTAATTTCATACTTTTACTGATCTGTAATTATGGCATCATTCATTAATGGCAGTCAATTATTTAGCAAATGTTTGAAACGAAGGTAATCATTCACTGAGTTTCTTGTGCATTTATATCATGCAAGAAATACAATTACTTGTTGTAACCAAGAATAATACAATGATTTCAGTTTGGACTTAATGAAAGTTCCCAGTCGTAATAGGGGACCAATAGGTCAGCCGAAAAAACGTCATCCTGAATGGCTTCCCAAAACAACACGTGTGGTACATATTTATAAAATTAAAATATCTTTTTAATATTTTTCTCTACCATGTAAAATATATGGTAATCTTGTTTATGTTAGCGCTACAATGAAGGGCTTACTACAGATAACAAGGAATTTTTGTCAGAAGTTGTGGCATCTACCAATGGACTTCTTAATGCTGAGATTAAGTCTCCTTTGAATACATCATTAATTCCAACAGCTACAGAATGGACCAAAAACTCCAAACGTACTGGTTTACTTGGTAGAAAGATAGGAGTGCATCCAATGTGGTTAAAGAATGGACAAAAAGTGCTAACTACTCTAATACAGGTACTACATTGTATTTGGAATACTTCCTATTTTCATGTAACTATCTTTTAATTATTATTTTATAGATCATAGATAATGAGGTTGTAAAATATATACCACCAGAAGAGTTTGATCCAGTTAAACCCAGTAAACATAAAAATATTAAACAGAAAAATGGTTGTCTTGTAGTTGGTGCAGAAAACATTGATCCACAATTAGTAAGCTGATATTTTTATGGTTTTTTCTTTTACTAAATGGACCAGAATATTTATACCATTGATGTTTGCAGCTTACTAAAGAGTATTACAGAATATTTGAAAAAGCTGGAATTACACCAAAAAGAGTATTAGCAAGATTTGTAGTTACACCAAACGCGGTTCTCCAACCAGGAACTCTTTTAATGGCGACGCATTTCAAACCAGGAGAGTTCGTTGACGTTCGAGGGAAAACGTAAATATTTTAATTCTGTAGTGAAAATTCGGTTGAATGAAGATTGTTGCAATATTATTTTCGAACGTAGGGTAGATCGCGGCTTTCAAGGTGTTATGAAAAGGTGGGGATTCCATGGTATGCCTGCTTCTCATGGTCAAACTAAAACACACAGAAGACCAGGTAATATTGGAAATTATAAAGATAGAGTAATGCCAGGTACGAAAATGCCTGGCCACATGGGAAATCGTTGGCGTATTTTGAAAGGTGTTAGGGTAAGTTTAATTACTTTGTTCACTTTTCGTAACTATTTTTTATTTAAAAAAACAAATACCTTTTATACATTTCTAATTGTTGAAAAATACGACCAAATAACAGGATACGCATATCCATCAATTTTATTTTCTCCGACTACTAATCAATACAGCTTTAAATAATTTTGACTTGAGAAATATGGTCTTAGGAAAATATGAAGAAAATTTTACATTATGTGTCTAAAAGAATAATACAATATTACGACTAACAAATCTGTTGAAATGAAATTCTTCTATTACATACTATAATTGTCTGAATTTAAAAGAAAATGTGTTCTAACACTTGTTACTCATTATCAGCAAATAATTATTTTTTCAAAGCGAAATGAAATAGCTTTATAATTAAAACAGCCTGTTATAGCATTAAAACTGTTGATTATTCATATGTTGCAGATATTACGAATCAACACTAAATATAATGTAATATGGGTAATGGCTCAGAATGTACCGGGAGAGCTATACGGTTTATGTTATTTATACGATACGATTCTCCCAACGAAACAAAATACTTCGCCTAATTTCCCTACGTATTTGCCGCCGAATCAAAATGAAGAAACCGAACTTCCGGAAAATCTTTACGCGGACGATGTTCATGCATTTAGCGATCCAACGATTGTGTACGAACCGGAATCGTAATGACAACACAGTAAATAAACTAATGCTTTAATAATTAAAAATAGGAAAACTATTTAATATTTTCCTTTAAAGATCGTAGGTAACAGGCAAAAATCGGCAAAGAAATTTTGCCGTGTTTACGCAGTAGTTTCTTTTATTTTATTGTTCATCTTCTTCCTCTTACAGAAATAATTCATAGTTATCAATTAAGCTAATAAAGAGTAGACAATTGATTCATTTATTTAGTAATCAATATTATTATAAATTTAACATGCCTAAAATATACATGATTGTTTTATAAATGTAACATCGCTAACCAAAACTCATCTCAAGTTAGAATGGAGAGCAGCGTAATCAAACGATAAAAAGGTCTTTTTCTTATTTTGTTTGCTCTTCAATGTAGAGAGCAAGTTAATTAATTTAACTAGAATAATTTATTCGGTACATTGCATATCGCTAGCTGCATTCAGTTAAGTTTCGTTCCGCCAATCGGTTTATTTATAAATGTGTGCAGTGTGGAAAAGAGAAAGAAAAAGGTAACATACATCTTTAAAAGAATCGGAAATAAAAGAAAAACAGATTCTTATTTCATTAAGAACCTCCCTTTTGCTCCGTTATTAAGTTGTCTGCCCTCGCTTCCCCTTTACTTTTTGGGCAAGATACCAACCAGCCACGGTTTTACACCTTTGGAATTAACAAACGAAAAGATTATTTTTAATTCAGCAGTGGCACGTCGAAGCTGCCACATATTGTCGTTGGAGCAAGAATAAGACACAAAAATAGAAACGGGTAAGCAAAATGGCTCCGTAGTGGAGTTTGTCGGGGGACGGCACGATCGGATAAGAAATAATGGAGGCCCTCTCAGAATTTAAAACCTTCGCTCGGAATGGTCGTCGTCTGGTCGAATTCAAATGTTGATTCTACAACCGGTGGCTCCAAATTCGTGTCATCCGGCTGAAAGGTATTAAAAATAGATTTTTCAACTGCATCCAATCAACGATAAAATAACATTTAAATGATACTTACGTCTTCAGAGAAGTATTGCTCGATAATATCAAAGGCTAGTTTATAAATGTCTACATTTTCGTGATTTTGCAATGCCTCAATTTTATCCAGACCTTGAATATTATTATTAAAGTTAATATTAATGTTACAGAAAATGAACGATTTATAAACTTACCTGAACATTCTTCGATCATATTGGCCAATTGTTCAACTTGTGGTCCAGCAAATTTGAGCATACTATGTATACCGTCTAAGACAACCTGTACAACCTGAGTATCTTTGCAGGAAAGAAGATTACAGAAAGGTGGAATCACACCCTCTTGTATCATCCGTGCTACTTGGTCTCTATTGCCACTTATTGTTAAATTACTGATTGCCCATGCTGCTTCTTTTTGCGTTTGGAATTCACCCTGTACGACATACAATGTAATTATCTGATCCAACTAAATTCGGTAATAATTCAATTGAAATATCCTTCTTACATTTGCTAGATTGCGAATGATAAGAGGCAGTAATCCAGCATCTATAACAGCCTGAACTTGAGACTGATTACCAGCAGTTATATTTGAAAGGAACCAGACTGCTTCTTTACAAATTTTCTCTCTCGGATGAGTCAGTAAATTGGGGAAATATGAAAGCGCGTCGCAGTTTAATACACTCTGCGTCTGTTCGTCTGTACCTGTTACAATGTTACCTACTGCCCTTAAAGCAGCCGTTTGCACTTTGACTTCTTTGTGCGATAAAAGCGGTATAAGACGAGGTACCACGCCGCTGTCTATAACCAGTTGAATTTGTTCGTTACCACCGTCAGTCAAGTAACTCAATGCCCAAACTGTGTCAACAAGGACCTGCAATATATATACATTCGAGTTGGTAAGAAATTCAACTAATAATTAATTATATACCGTATGCTCGTGTATAGTAAATATACTTTCATCACTCACATTAATATCTGTGTGATGAATGAGTACATTAAGAGCAGGCAAAATATCCTTAATAGTTTGAATAGGTGGTGGTGGATCTTTATTCCTACATAAATTCACGATTACCCATGTTACATTACGTAAAAAACTAATTGGTATATCCGGCTTAATAAACGTTAACAATGGCGGTACAACACCAAGACTAATAACGTAATCTCTAGATGATGGACCGTCTCCAATAATATTTCCTACAAAAAGAATTTCCGTTATAATTTCAACTATGTATTTTATTATCGTATTACATCGCATACCTAAAGCCCATACAGCTTGTTCGCAAACATTATGCTGGCTCGAAAGTAACAAATGCAGAAAATGTGGAACTGCACCGGCAGCTACAACCGCTTGTGTCTGAGGTGATGTTCCACTCGCGATATTTGTTAAAGCCCATGCCGCTTCAAACTGTAGAGACGGACTGTAAATAAGTAACATTATAAATATAGAAGAATCGCGATAACGAAACAAACGTGATAAAAATTATCATACTAATCATGCTGTTGAAGACAAAGGACTAAGATCGGTAAAATGCCACTATCGATTAACCGATCAATCGGTGGATTACGATCCGAAGACAGTAACCTTCTCGCCGACTGTACAGCCTGTAATTGAACAGCCGGGTCAGAACTAGCAGCATTCATTACTAGTTCTTTCAAATTGATTATTGATAAATGCTTATCAACTTCCTCCTCGTCTGAAAAACAAAAGTATTTTTTAATCACTTGTCCTTATTTTTCCATATTCTCTGACTGTTTCTCCTTTAGAATACCTGTTAAATCTGTAGTAGGCACATTTCTTCGTTTCTGTAAAGTTTCATTACGCTTGTTCTTGCGTAGTTCCACAGTCACCTCATTTCTTCTTCTTCTCATTTCCTAAAATATGCCATTTATTGACTTTGTGTATTCAGATTGCAGAAGGAACAAAGAAGTTAGAAACATTATGAATGATTTGTTATTATTACAATACAAATAAAATACATGACCTAATTATAAAAACTAAATATACATAATTAAATCAATTTATTAAACATATTTACTTGTCATATTTCATGGCAGTTTCTTAGTGCAAAATTAAACAGTATGAAAATTTGTATCAGGAATTAATAAATATCATAATATTTTTATGAATCTTGGAAATACCATTTAGTTAAAAATTTTTACATTCTGATATTATTTCGTCAATTACTTGGAAGGTATTCAAATAAATCAAGGATTTCAATATTACTTGCGATATTTTGATGTATGCTTTTGGTTACAATACAAGAATACGAACAAGTGAAAGAACTATAGAACTATATAATGCTATTTATATGAAGTAAAATACGATGGCATTGGTAGGATGTTAGCGAAGTTTTGGAGCAGATATTTCAACTTGATTACATTTTCTCCGATAGATCATCGCTATCGAAGTTGTATTTGACGTTATCCCGTCGAGAGTGACGGCACTTTCCACTTGTTTCGAAATGCAACCATTACCAATTCGAGAATACAATGTTGCAGAATTCGACTAAATTTTATATCGACAATTGCCGTACGGTTGGTTTAAAGTCGAGAGGTAAGCAGGAATGTCGAAAAATCGAAACAGAACAACGAAGTATGCAAATACATTGGCAGAAAGTTGAAGGAGACTAGTAGGCGCGAATGATGTTGCATTTATCCGCTCCATAACGATAGCCCCGAAACTTCCAGACGTATAAACGTAACTGCGCACCAACAAAAGGACACACCGGATACTCACTTCTTGATCTTTGCCTTTGTTCTTAAAAACCATCATTCGATTCTTGCTTAGCATTTCCGCCGCCATTTTTTCAGTAACCAATCCTTCGTGCTCGCGTATATTGATATGTACCGGCACCCGGATACCTCCTGTTACCGTGAAAAATCTCGTATCCGTGTTACTGCGACCGATTTACCTCGACAACTGCATGCCGTTGCGCGACAGCCTTAATCTACGTCAATATGTAATGCAATATCATGTATAACACTCGTTCCCCTGATCACGATCGCCACACGACGTTCTTCGTGGTCACGTTTTCTTAACACGAACACAGCGTTTCAACCATTCCGAAAAGAACATCGGAAATGAACAAGGTGGCGCTTCGGAACACGCGTGTTTTCACTATATTCACCTTCGTACCCAGTCAAATGTCTGTGACACAAGCTAAGATAACACTATGGATTATTTATCAGAATACTATTTTTTTTTGCTATATACTACTTTCCTTCACCAATCAAATCAGATTACACTACGAGATATTTTTATCAAATCATACAGGAGATAAAATCTTTGATTCGATTCCAACCAGTACATACATTTATACAAATTAATCTATACGATAAGAATAATAATTGTTGAATTTTAGTTGGTATACATGATTACAATTAATGAGATGCAATTTGATACCGAACACAGCAACCTCCCCTAGGGAAAATGGCGACGTTGGGGGAGGAGACCCCACTACCCACTACTCGTGTATAACATTTCCAGACATTTTTTCATCACTTTTTTAGCTATACAATAAATATTGTAATTGAAACTTATTTAAATATTATGTATTTTTATGTGTTGACAGATTTATCAATTATTTTAATGATAATCAAGATATTCGTTATCAAATATATCTAGCAAGTGGTAGAGGCTTCTTTCCCCCATATCTCCATTTTATCTAGGGAACCCTACGTGTTCGATATATTGACGAAAATGAAATTTTCTAGAGAAAACTCAATGCACATCGGAACATAACTAGATGCAATTGAACGCACACGTAAAATTAATCGATGTATTGATAATATCTTGGATTAACATCTACTTTTGGAGGTACTTTCTCCACTACATGAACTTTTATTATATTATACTGCTTTCGAGACGATTGAATAACAGCTCCACAATAAGTTTTGAGACTAAAATAATATCCTAGTTCAATGGATGTTAGCAAGGAATATCCTACAAAGAGACTCGCAATACCACCAAACGATACAAGTAAATCCAAGAAACCAAATCGCATTTGCCTTATGTAAAGAGTTGTTACCCAATTTCTTAACATAATTTTGCTCATATTACTGGCTGATTTTGTTACAGTTCGGACGGTGTACGATGTATGGTCGCATGAAAGCCAACAATTACAGCGAGTCAAGTCAACATCACAGGCGCTTAAACAGGAATACTTTGATAAAGAACATTCTGCCTTATCGACGGATGGTAAGAACCATGGTAAACAATTGCATTGTTTGAATATCATGTCGATTATACAATTGATCTCGCATTCATCCAAACTTGCACCTTCCTGCTTATACAAACATTCTCGCTGATGAAGAAGTAAGTAACGAATGTCAGGGGTCGTATATGTTATGTCGGGGATAAATTCAAGGTCCAGAGGAAAATAAGCTGTCATTATTGGTCTTTCGCCAGGCAGTGGACTTGAAAAGTTGGGTTCGGTGAAATAAAGCCTGGAAATTAAAATTATGACAAAAGTAGCTAAACTTATTTTATCCTTCACAGAGGTTGCGTCGGTAAGTACGATTTCTCAAAAAACAGTAACGAAAGAAGAGTAAAGACATGAGAATTGCTTTTTCTTCTAGATCCTTTAATTACCTGAAAGGAAGGCTTAGAACTTCAAATTCAAGGCTCAACGAAGAATCTGTAATTCTAAGGGGTTCCACGGTGTTCAGTACACAGCATGCACCCACGGTAACCAGCATTGGTGTAAATAACTCGTTACACGGTATTTTTGCATTTCTATTTAAAAAAAATAGTAATACATTATTTTTCAATGGTATTTCTATAAATATGAAAAACTGTATACTTACTTGTAAGCACAATTTTTAATCATATCATTGCAACTGGGTACCATTTTTTCAAAAATGCTACGAAAATTGTTTTTATTACCATAAGTAGTTATTAGTGATCCAAAATCAACTGTTTCCTCCCAGGTCCAATTGTATAATTGTTCGTATATGTACATTTCGTTCTATTCAAAATTTACATAATTAATTAATCTTAAGATAAAAAGTTCCACATTTTCAAAATGGTACTTACCTTTGGTAAATTTAAATGGCTCAATTGATTCCAACCGAAGCAGATGAAAACTTTAGGAAAGTCTATAGTAATATGTTCTGTTAGTGTATCAAATCCTGTTATAGTTGGCTCTGTTTTAAATTTGTCCCAAATAATCACGATTATAACGAAAACAGATATGATAGATGCCAATGTCAAAAGAAACCATATTATTCTGCGAAAAGAAATACCATTTCATTTTAATTAAATAAATCAAAGAATAATATAATTACCTTTCCCATTTAGGTCGAGTTGGGTCCGCAAAATATCGAAAACCATGCAACGTGTTCTCCAAAAGGTACTCCTTCGACCGGTATTTCATACTGGAACGCAATTCTGCCAAAGATGGTTTGTAATTATACTTCATACCGATTCTTTACGTCAGTTGCTTCAATCTTCTACAGCAGACTTAAACTGCTCGTTTAAGCGAAAAAAATAGAATTGATTTTCTGGAATCGCATGCCAACTGCAGACATATATTATTCATATTATCTTTCGCATCAACGATACAGGGAGAAATCAGATTTTTCGACTCGCAAAAGTTCTTCAGAAGAAAGAACAAATAACTAGTATTGTTCGACGAAAACGAAAGATGAACGATCGTTCGCAGGAAACTATCGATTACTATCGGTTCATTCGGGTATTGTCTTTCGGATAGACGTTTTTCCAGTTGCATCTCGTCGGTACAGGATCGGCCCATCGTGTGTGGAAATACAAACACTCCTCATCTTTGTGCCAGCTTCTTTATTATTTTAGACTACCCCTCTTACGACCACCATCTGCACGCATACCGACGTCGTTCCGGTCTTTGACTGTGTTCAAGAAAATTCACGAGCGACTTAAACGGGTGTAAACTACCCTCTTGATGCCTCCTTCCCTTTCGATTTCATTAGTAAGGACCCTCTTCCAAGTGGTCATTTTTTTCTAAATTAAAATAACAAATTAGAGATTTTCAAAACAAAATTAATATGTTTGGTACCGGAAGTCCTGCCAGTTGGAAATTCTTCCATTATGGATCACTTTTCTTTCAGAGTTTCATTTCGACAAAATTATTCATTGCCCTGAAATATCTGTAGGTAATTCTATGTGTTACAATTTCTATGAAAGCTGTTTTCATTTCTTCCCCTTTCAATCGTAAAATTCGACTAGTTATTTGTACTTCGGATATTAATGCGACTGCGAAGATTTTTCATCCCGGAATAAACGATTTGTAACAAACGTCCGTGATGGATGTCCCGTCGAAAGGCATCGTAGCTTTTCGCAGATACTTATTTATAGCTTTTAGAGAGAAAAACGACGCAAAACCTTTTCAATAATAAAAGAAAGCTAACCCAACTTTTATAAGTATAACGAGAGAAGGAGTTTGACAGAGCCTATTTATATTTACTAAATACGTAACGTAGGTCGATATGGGTTAAAAATGAGATTTTTAATGGCAAATGTCGAGTGGAATGATCGGGGACCGCTGATAAAATAATAACAATAGCTGATAGGATATAAAGGAAAGGAAAACAGGGGATCCCTTTTGTTAGGGGTCGTTTGACGCACGGCGTGGCGCGGCGTCCGAGAAAATACTTGGAAGAAAAAGAAACGGCGCTATTCTTGCGTCCAGGTGTGAGCCTGTAACGCCAATGTAAATATACAACACTTACGCTATTCTGACGGAACCTCTTCGAAAACTATTAACGTATTCCCCTCTCGCCTCCCTCGTCGCGCATTTTTTTCGTTCCGACCCATTTCTCTTACTACTGGAGCATGGGTGTGCTCCTTTGAACCCATTAAGTGGCACGTGTTAAAGAAGTCAATCAGGTAGCTGTCTTGTTGAACAGCCGACTGTGTGAACATCGTTTCAATGCTAATCATTCAACTATTTATGTCATTTTAACCCTTTCATTGTGAAAACCTATACGAGGTAGGATACAATGGTTTACTATGACGGTGGACCAACTAGGAGGTAATTTTTCTTTCGAGAGTGGCGACCACCCCCGTCGTTCATTTTTAAATTCGCTCCCGAAGCGAACGAAGAGTTATTTGTACTGGCATGCTTACACGTTACGCCACTAATAATTAAGCAGCGTGTATCGCGATTAATTTGATACACTGGATGTCCAGAACTGGGCGCCACTCTTTCCCCACTCCGTTGAACCGTTCGTGAATGACTCGACTTTTCAGCTTCTGATCGAGATAAACAAGTGAAACCGAGTCACGACTACTTACACGAACTCTACCATATCGGTGCTTGCGTGTTTCATGATTATTAATCAGATGTTACGTACGTGGAAAAATGTGGCGTTGCTTTTAGCTGCATAATATTATTCCAAATATCTGTAATATACGAATGTGTTCAGAAAATGAAATTTTCTAAAACATCAGCTCTCCATTGTTTCGCCAGTCCTTATCATCGCTGACACGTAATAAATATTAATCGAATTGTCTTTCTGCTCCAACAACATTCACTGACAGATATATGACGAGCTCGAAATCTAATCAATTTAATATCCCAAGAAACAATGATTAATTAGAAGAGTTCGTCGACACGATGCTCGTTGCGAGCTTCTTTAATTTAGCTCCAGGTAAATTCGAGTAAATCAAGTGCCTCCTGAACCGATGGAAACTATAGAAGTGCCAAATTTTGAAATTGAGAGCTGCATACAACGTAAAGTGACTCGAATCACTTCCAATTGGTCGTGCGTCATAATGGCACCTTCTCGCATCGGACCATCTAATTACCATCGGTTTTAGTCAATTGGTACATTGCTCGAAACGATGGCATTATGAAAAGGAGCGAAGGAAGTGAAGGGAACCGACATCCCGTAGATCCAAAGTAGACGAGACAAAAATAATATTCAAAGGTGGAGTTGGCACGTGTCTAAGATTAAAGCTGAACAACAGGCTCTACCCTTAAGGCGAGTGAAAAAAAAAAAAAAGAAAAAAGGCAATGAGATTACGAGGAAACGTGGCTACTGGTTGTTCGATAGCGTAGGTCGAGTCTCTGATGATGAACCACTCTCGGTGCCGCGTAAATCCTTGCTCGAAATGCGTGTGCGTTCCATGAAAACCGACCTCTCTGTGTACGTCTGTACGTGTGACCGCGTTTCTTTGTGTTCACCAATGCGAGGGAGTTCTCGAACACGGTCTTTAGTCGTTCTTTAGTTTCGACTAAGCATCCGTCGAAGATAGAGGATCCTAGTTACACCACTTCCTCTTCCGGCTTACGGCTCGATCTTTCTATCTACGGTGTTTCATTTCGTGCCTCGAATAAGATTACTTCAAATGGGAAATTTGAAAAATTTCTTGGTGCTTCCGAGACATTCGATCAGTGCGATTAATTGATCATTGTGTTTCGTTCTCTAAAAATGTGAAATCTTCATGGAATTCAAACGATGGAGTTTGGAAATAAACGAACGTTAGAGTGTCAATGATAATTGTTATCGATAAAGTGTTAATAATAAAGGTTTTCTTCCATTTTGCTTTCTTCCATAAGCGATGGAACGACGGAGGATACCGCGAAGAAGAGGCCTTTCCTCTGCGGAAACCCGAACTGGTAGGTTTCTTATTATTTTCATAAAATTTTCCCTTCGGAATGCTTGGAATTTCGTTCAGAAATTGCATAATTTTATTCTGTCTCTTGTTGTTTATAAACAACGAACTGGAAATATAGAAACGTTCAAAGGTTGATTTTACTTTTCTGATAAGAAGATGGTAAATAACCAACTTCGTGAAACGAACTAGAATTCCACATTCTTTTATACAGAGAAAGTTAAATTAATCACTTCTGAAAAAGAATTTAGTTATTTGCTCCGCTAATTGAACGAACGTAAAACGGGCTTGTTAGGTCAAAATTGCTAGCATTGCATAAAAGAAGATAATTTCTTATAACAGTGCGATAAGAAAATAAAAATAACTGATTTCCCGATCGTGCTGAAAAATTTAACAAACCGCGCTTTCATTTAAATTCGATAATATTTAAATGACGCCTTGCCAATATAGGAATCGCAACCATTAATCTAATGATCGAAGGAACAGAGTCGCGTTGTGTGGCCATTTCTGAAAAACATCGCGAAAAAATGAAGAAATTAATATGAAACGCGTATTCATTCAACGTGAAAATTATTACAAACACGATAAATATAATAAATTGATGTTTCTAGTTGTGATTCATCGTTAGTTGTTATTTGTTTTGGTTTTTAGAACTTCTATGATTTCTATGTAGATGACGGTATTAATTATTCTAGCATTACTATTATTATTATTATTATAGTATTTTCTATATTTTACTATTATTACTATCCTCTTCTTCCATCGTTCGATCATAAATAACACTAACCTGCATCGGTGCAGAATGTTCTCTGGTTTCTTTAGTTCCATAAATATGTTGAAAATGAAATGGGTTCAAGTACGAGTCGTAATGTCGAAAAAGATAAAGCCACATTTAACCGTATCTCTATTGGAACAAATGGTCAACTGCTCCTCAAAAGGCTAAGAAGAAAGGAAAAAAACGAACGTAAAAAATGACCCTGTTTTTCTGACTTCAAACTTATCTTTAATATCGACTTGTTCGACCTTTACGATAAAGGTAACCCAAGATGATAACCACGTGTTCTACGTTAACATCCTCTAGTAAGAATAAAAATAACAATACGTAACGTAAACAATTGATTGACAATAATAATAGAAAGCTTAAAATTATTTATTATAAATATTTCAGTATTTAACTTGAAGGGTAAGCTGATATTTTTAAGAGGGCCAAGCTTACCCTTTCTTCTTTAACACTAATCAATTTTTCACTAATCAAACAAGATAATATTTATCGGCATTGATGTGAATTTTGGAAGAAAATATTTTTGTATACAGTAGGCTGGAGTCATTGTTTGCTTGGTATTATATTACAAACAAGTAATAACGATGACACATCGTGAAAAGGGAAGGAAGGGAGTTGCTCATCGTCATGTTAATCCTCTGAATGTCGTAACACAGCTCATCGTATTTTCACGTCCCTACAGGATATGCTTGATTGGACATGATGCCGCAAACATATTTACACTAAATCCTATGGAAAATAAACAAACGTCAGAACGCATTGTTTAGTATCTTTAAATGAAATAATGAAACAGGAGTTATTAAAAATTTTCTTTATTAATAAATAATTTTCCAAATTATTATTTATATTTAAATTAAAAATTTGTGGATAATTGAAAAATATTGAACAGAAGGTATACGTATACACAAGCAACCACATTTATTTGCAAATCCGAGGTTTAGAACAGAGACTACAATAGGGGCATTATATGCGCGGGTGGTTCATCCTCCGAAACTGAATCGTCCCCCATAAAGATCGTTCGCGATATCTTCACAGAACTGACCAAAGCTGTTTTGTTTATCGGTTAATGTTAAAAATAAATCCATTAAATCCGATACTAATTACTCGTAATAACTGATTTCAAATGAATCTATTTCAAATCCAGCATAACTTCAACCTCGAAATTTTTTTAAAAAATTTCTTTTCTTTCTCCCTAAGGGATGTTATCAATTCTTGAAACTTTATTTAAACAAATATTTTATACACATTTTAAGTTACGAACTAGAGTTTGAAAGTAATGTCATCTAGGGAACCCTAGGATTCCGTGGAAAACAAAATGTAACCAGCCCTGACCATTAGTTAAAAAGAATTCACAGAACGGTCGAGTCTTATAATTACGTCTAATTAACACGATTAAACGTAAACCTGATAGAAAAGAACAAGGATAATTTTCCCCACAACTTTGCGTCAAAGTACGATAGATATCACGGGTCATTCGTTCACCCATCGACAGCTTCCACGTACCACTAATAACGACAAAGTGCAGAGGTCATCAATGATGTAGGTAACAACATTGTTCAAGAGATGATTGCTAATAAAAACATTACTATTAAACAGAATACGTACGCGTGCTTTGTAGCTGGAAACTTTTACCATTGATTTCTATACTTCCGCGTGTCCGTCTGATAAATCGACACGTTTTCGTGGAATTGCAGTTTCTAGGACACTCATTGTTGATTACAAACATTCTGATGTGCATTGTTTGCTGAAAATCTGAAGCTTCCTTTGTAAAAGTGTAACGAAACGTCTCTTAACTAAGAAACAATTTTAATTTACTAGATCCAACCCACTAAATAAATCCTTTGGTATAGTGTATAATATATTTATTTTGTATACAAAGCATCAGTTCTAAGCAGTTCGGGTACCTCCATTAGAATATCCCTAGACCCATTTGAAAAGTTACCAGATACAGTAGCGTCGATGGATTCTTGATTTCAAAGAAAGCTAGCGGTCAATTTCCAAGTATCCGGACCGTTTTGGTTCGGATATAAATGCACCGTTCCTTTTCGAGAATACCGAAACTCATGGGTATTCGGTGGAAGAGGAACGATGAAATGGTGGTATAGATGCATAGGATGGCAGGGAATAACGGGGGCGATAATAGGTACACATAGCGAGACTCGTTGTCGGGGGGCGCTGACCGCAGAGATAACGCTTTGACCCGTTACAAGCTTCAAGCACGAAATGAATGCCTTCACTGTCTCATCCAAGTCGGGCCCAATCCAAATATGTAGCCCTTTTTCTTACCAGCTCGCCCTTTATTAAACCGTCCGTCGTTTAAGTTCGCCCGCTTCACCTTAACTCGTCTTCCATTTTGCCGCTTCTCGAACGCGCTCTCTCCACAGCGTCGTCGATTCCGTGCTCGGTGCAGATTAATAAACTCGCTTTACCAATTCAATTTCGCAGGTTATTTAAAAATTGAAACAACGTCGTCCATTGGACAGTGCGGTCGACTGTTCTCCTGGTACCGGGCTAACATGATTGGAGGAAGTGGTAGACAAGGATAGTGCGACAGAGACAAGCATACCTAACTCGCTTCAAAATGGCGTCGCTTGCATGAATTAATACCGAAGAATTATGAGTTATTCGTTTATTAGGAACAATTTATGTACTTTTCTGATAGATTCTTATAATGCGCGAACGTAGGAACTTTTACGTGTAATTTTTGTAGATATTCTAGCAATAATTATTTTTTAATGCTAAGTGGGATTTATTTACTGGCACGCCATTTTCGAACGGGATAGCTTTGTCCGTCTTTGTCTACCTCCTCCTCCTCCAATCATGCTAACTTGGTACCAGCAAAACAACCGACAGCACTGACCAATGAATGGCTATGTTTTAATTTTTAAATATCCTGCGAAGTACGAATCGAAAAGGAAAGTATTAGATACTCGGACTTCCACGATAGATAAAGCAGCCTTTATTTACCCTTAAACCCATTAGATAGTGACACAATTGGAGATAACACGTTAAATATTGTTCCAGATTTATCGACGAGTACGTCCACTCAGCAATCGGAAGTAATAGTGAGGTTACAGCCTATCAACGGGAACTCGGAGATCACAGGATGCAAAGATCGACCTCACATTTGTGGAAAAGAGGCGGCTTGTCGCAGTTTCGACGACAACACGTCCAAGTGCGTCTGCCCCCATGATTTATCCCCTCCGACGACGGACCTGAAGTGTCCGAACCGTTTAATAGGTACGAACGATACATTTTCGTGCAATCTTTAGCATTTGTAAACGCGCAAAGAATTTAATATGTATACTTTCTTTTCTTCTTTCAGTTCCCTTAACCCCTCGACCCATACCTAATATAATACCCCCAAATGGTAACTCTACCAATAGCACAACCGCTCTTCCAGAAGCTGAACAGGTAAATTATTTGAAATTACGTGCAATCTTTTGCAAACATAGTTTGTAGTATTTTCATACTGTCCAACAGGTGGAGCGATCAAGACAAAGGGTACCTGAAATAATAGGAATTGCTCTAGCTTTCGTCGCGGTATTAGCAATATTGTTGAGCATAGTTTACTGCGTGAAGAAACGGAGTTACAACGTGAAATCGCAGAGGAATTCTCTGGATGTATGTCGATTAAATTCCATTTTAATTAAACCTCGAGGAAATGAAAGCATTACGCGTATAGTAACAGCAACGTTTAAACACGCCGTATCGCGTGATCGGATGTTCAGAGGTTGACGTTGGATCACGCGATACGGCGTGATTTAATCGTTAAAGGATTAGCCTTAGCTCGTCGATACGAAATCGATAAAGAATAATTTGCATACGTTCGCTTCAGGGAACACCAATGAACCTAAAAAAGGGACTACTACTAGCGAATAAGTACACACCTAATCCACAGTATTTCAGCTGCGCTTCGCCGGAAGTACCGATTCTGCAGCGCGAATCTCTCATGTTCCTGCAGGACATTGGCGAGGGTTGCTTCGGGAAAGTGTATAAAGGTAGAAACGAATCATTAAATCGAGAAGACCGATAGAAAAATTAGAATGATCGTTACATTTTATCAGGAGAATTAAGCACCGGAGAATCGAAGGAGATCGTTGCCATAAAGGTGCTGAAGGACAGCGCGTCGCGCGAGGCTGAAGAAGACTTTATGCGAGAGGTCGACATCATGTCCACGTTTGGACATCGAAATATTTTATCCTTGAAAGGGGTGGTGCTTCGCGATGGCAACAGCAGCCCTTGGATGGTATTCGAATATATGCCCTTCGGAGATCTTGCTGAAGTTCTGCGATCGAACTCCCGACAGCTTAGATCGTCGAAACCAGGTCTGCAACCTTTGACTCAGGTAATTGCTTTAACAAAGCGGTATATATTTAACCCTTTTCTTTCAGAATTTTATTAGTAATTAAATTTGACAGCATAAAACCATTAATGGATTAATTTCCCATGTTTCAGGAATCTCTGCACTGGATAACGATCCAGATCGCGGCTGGTATGACTTATCTATCGGGTCAGAGATTCGTCCATCGAGATCTGGCTTGCAGAAATTGTCTCGTTGGCGAGGATCTGATCGTGAAAATCGCAGATTTCGGGATGTCACGAGACGTATACACTTGCGACTATTATAAGGTACATCGAAACAACAGATTCGCAAAACTGAATCCTTAAGCAACGAGTGAAATTCTTTTCTTCATTACAGATAGGAGGTTCTAGACTTCTACCCGTTCGATGGATGTCACCTGAAAGTGTGATGTACGGTCGTTTCACCCTGGAAAGTGACGTCTGGAGTTTCGGGGTTGTTTTATGGGAAGTCTACTCTTTCGGCAAGCAACCGTATTACGGGCACAACAACGAGGAGGTGAGGAAAAATCAAATGCAATATAATGCTTTGTTTTCCAGTAATTAACGTTTAAAAATTCGAGTAAAAAGCGCCTGAAACCTGCAACCCGCCCAGCACCGACGACTGAACGTCAGGTCAGCAGGGGAAAGTACAGTCATAACCAAGAATCGTTGAGTAGTAGAAACTTATCTCGTGCTATTCCGTTTCTCGGTACCTTCCCCTGTTGACCTAACGTTTAGTCGTCGGTGCTGGGCGGGTTGCAGGTTTCAGGCGCTCTTTACTCGAATTTTTAAACGTTAATTACTGGAAAACAAAGCCGCAAACGCTATTTCGTTAATCTTGATTTTCGTCTTATTTTAATCCCTAGAATCACCCTTTAAAATTTTGCGCACCTGTTGTCGAACACCCTGTATATATTCTTATACTTCCTAGCTATAAGTTATTGCTCATTATTTCAGGTAGTTAAATTGATATTCCAAGGAATAATGCTGATCCCACCGGAAGGATGTCCGCCATTCGTGTGCCAATTAATGAGGGAATGTTGGAAAACGGATCCGAAAGACAGAATAAAATTCGCTGAAATATTAGAGAGGCTTGAGAAAGCGAAAGATAAATCCATCCAACAGTATACGTTGCCGAGGCCACCTCAAGGGCCAGTTACCATTCGTACACCGGATGTTCTCGATCCTGACGGCTATTTATTGCCAGCCCCAACCAAACCCCACGAATATTTGCAAACTTTACCAGCCTTATCGGACTGAATCATTCATTGATAACGATGACATAGATTAAAGTCAATGATATCAGGGAACTCGTGAAAGTTCGACGAACTTTCGTTGTCCAGGAAATAGTATTAATACATTTGTAATGCTAAGGGAATGTAACATATGTACTTTGAAATAATTTATTATTAACTAGGGATCAGAAAGGGAATTGTACATGATTGTTACAGGTTCGTACCGTAGAATTCCATCCGTGAACATCGCTTCCTCTATTCGATATTTTTACAAATACGAAAGATGTTTCCAGCATACGCGATCATTGTATTAAATAATAAAATTTTTATTAAATTTCTGTAAAGAATATTTCTGACCCGACGGTTCACTTCTAATTTCTATTCATAATTCGATCAAGTATTATTTGTTAAATCATAGGCCAGATTAAATTTGAAAATGGTGGAAACGAAGAAATATTGTTGCTGTGATACGATAGTCTTTTGTTCACGAAAGATACACCTATACCAGCAAACTTGCAGTGTCCGTTCTTTTTCAGACGTGTTCTATCCGTTCCGATCGAATAATCAGAATGTACGACGATTGCATATTCCTTTCACTGAGATTTCCCCAAAAGTTATGGAGGATCGTAAACGAATGCAAGAGCGGTGCCATTCGATGGAGCCTGAACGGGAATACGATCCTCCTCGACTACAAGAAGTTCCAAGAACAATATCTGGACGCGGGTAATTCCATCTTCAAAACGAAGAACATCACCAGTTTCATCAGGCAGTTGAATCTCTACGGTTTCCGAAAGGTTACCTCGCACAATCGTGACCCAATATGCAACTCCCATAATCCGGATGTCCACGAATTTCTTCACGAGAATTTTCGCACCGGTAGGCCGGATCTCCTGTCTAGGGTGTACAGGAAAACCGCTGGGAAAGTGAAACACTGTCACCGTGTCAGTTTGAAAAATCCCACCGAAGCAGAGTTTCTGAACAAGGACTCTGATCACGTGTCGCGTTTGCACATGTGTCGGGTAATTGGATTAATGATTTTAACATCGATATCGAAATTGATAATTTATTTAATTATTTCAATCGCCGACCTCTAAAATTCTTCACTCTTTTACACAGTTGGCATTAACGAAAACCCTAGAACAGATAGCGCTGGAATATCAAAAAGCGCATAACCATTCGACTAAAGACAAACATTCCTTAAACTCTTTAAACCCCCAAGAGAAAGGTATTATAATGAGGATACTTAAATAACTAGACGATTAAATTAATACTAATTGTACAAATTTCAGTATTCGGTCTTGACTTGTACAGTAATCAAGACCACGAAGAGAACACCAATTGGATTACGAGAAATCCGGTATCAATTTCTTCGAAAAATGATCATTCAAGCAGCAGGCGATTCACTCCGAGCGTTTATGTACAATGGACAGATTTTTCAAAAAATACTAATTGATTTAAGTTTTCTGTATTATCAATATCATTATAGCATTCGACTATCCTTGAAAGAATTATTTAAAATAGTAATTCACTGTACTCGTAGTATAAAATACATCACTCGCTTGTTTAGAAAATTTATTTATAAAAATAAAAATAATTATTTCTACAGAAACTACGTATCGCTAGTGGTAGCTGACTGATTAGCCATCTGTTTACTTTGCTGCATTTTATGCCTGTTTAAGAAGTTTCTGAACGACTCTGCTTCCTTCTTTTCCTCCTCGTCCTCTTCTTCTTTATAGGGATTTTCAGTCCCTTCTTCGTCCTCGCTCGATTCGTTACCAGCATGTTTTAAATATATATCTGAAATTTCTCTTCCGCTGTTGAGCGTTGTTACGAATGGTACACTTTCTCCTACAGCTTGTCCAGTTGCCTTTTGAAGCTGCTCCGCTTCTGTCTTTCGTCTCTGAGCATCCCGTTTAATCTTCATCTTTTCCCAATCTCTTTTATATTCCTTATCGTACTCTTCCACAGCATCCTTGACGAGTTCAAAGAACTTAGTAATACCCGCTCCTGTCGCGGCAGAAACACCACAGCTACGTAAATGACTGTAAAATTCGTCGAGCGTCAGTGCCATACTGCGCGTTAAGTTACTGATGTAGCTCGTCTCCGAATCCAATGCTTCTTGAAACGCTTCGAAATCATGCATCCATTCTACTGCGTAACTGTGCTCAACGATATCAATCTTAAAATTCATTGTTATAAATTAGTACATGAAAAAATTATTGATCAAACTTATAATTACCTTGTTCATGGCAATGATAAACGGTAGTTTAGTTTTGTAGAGTATAGAACATGCATAGAGCATGTTAGACATGAACGTGACGGGATTAACGCTTCTCACGGTGTCTAACACGTACACCACGATCGTTGGAAACTCGGATGCTAAAGCTTCGGTTATAATTGTTCCACTTGCTGACCATGTGAATACTTCAATTTGTCCAGGTGTGTCCAAAATTACATATTCGTGCTCTTTACCTGCTTTGTCAATAAGATCTATAACTTGATCAAATTTTGTAGAAAAAAGATTCAAGGCTGTGACAATACCACCATTTGGACCTAAACTGTATTGTTTCATCACTTCTTTGTAATTGACAGTGTCCCTAATGTCTGCAATACAGAGTATAAAATTAAATATATGGTACAGTTAAGTCTAATAACATTATAGGTACCTATATTTGCAGGATAAGGAACCTCTTTGCATGCAGGATCCAAATTTATTACATATGGCTTTCCTGTGTTATACAATACAGAAACAAGTCTTTGAACAAATGTTGTTTTTCCAGAACCAGCCATTCCAAGAACAATTATGCATGATGGTTTCTTTTTTGTAGTAGCATCAGTTGTACAATTTTTTGATGAAATGTTTGGTTTTTCAGAAGAATCAGAACTATCCATAGGCTCAGACATTATTGATTTTGCTACTACAAACACAAATGAAAATATAAGATAATATTGGACATATTAATACATTATAAATTAAGCGTATATTAGTATTATCAATATTCTTAGAAAAATGATATAACATTATCAAAATTAAGTGCCACTCTTTCTTTATTTATTTCGCACAAATTTTATGAACATAGATGTATGTATGTATAAGATTTGGAGTTCTTTCTTGACAACACACCTGAAATTTTAAAACCTATTAGAACATTCTGTTTTCCAAATTAATTAAATGTTGTTATATTATGTCAGATTGTTTCAGATGTAATTTAACGTAAAAATATTCTAAATGTTTTTTGCCAGTAACCTAACCTCACCAATAGATTACAAACAATAGTAGACCCAGTGGCCACAGATCCAACAAGACTGGGGCATGGCCAGTGACTATAGATAGTCGAAGATTGGACATGCCTTTGTTACCGAAAGGTGGTCATTTTTGGGGAGTGCGGCTACCCAGTATGAAGAGAGGTTTCCACAGTCGGCATAACAGTCGTGCCTGTTTTGCCAGTTCTTCTGTTACCATACCTCACTGGCACATCGTCCTACACCGACCGCCGAGGGGTGCGGATCTACCTCTTCTAGTCATACACACACCTTTATTTTATTTTCTGTGTTTATTTAATTTACTGTATTTCGTCCTTAGCTTATTAAATAAACTCATTACGAGGATCAACGCGTTTATTTTATTACTCCTGTGTGTCTCGCCTATTATTTTACTCTTTTCCGTATCCTTTACATCCCTGTATTCCTTACATCACTACATCCCTTATATCTTTGCATAGCTTATACCCCGCATCCCTTACAATCCAGCACCCCCTACATTTCTGCACCCCCTACGTTTCTGTATCTCTTACATCGCTGCATCTCCTACATCTATGTATCCTTCAAATCCTTGCATCCTGTACATACAACAATGTTACAGAAACAGTTTTTGTACAAATTTAGTTCCTTTTTTGCCCGCCAGAGGGCGCTGATTCGGCATCGAAAATATAGTTCGCATATTTCCCGCCAGAGGGCCAAAATTTCGGAATGATTTAGTTCCTTTTTCTGACACCAGGGGGCGCTGATTCGACATCGAAAATTTAGTTCGCATATTTCCCGCCAGAGGGCCAAAATCTCGGAATGATTTAGTTCCTTTTTCTGACACCAGAGGGCGCTGATTCGACATCGAAAATTTAGTTCGCATATTTCCCGCCAGAGGGCCAAAATCTCGGAATGATTTAGTTCCTTTTTCTGACACCAGGGGGCGCTGATTCGACATCGAAAATTTAGTTCGCATATTTCCCGCCAGAGGGACAAAATCCCGGAGTGATTTAGTTCCTTTTTCTGACACCAGAGGGCGCTGATTTAACATCGAAAATTTAGTTCGCATATTTCCCGCTAGAGGGACAAAAATTCAAAATTTAAAATTCAAAATTCAAAAATGTGATGCCGGGATTGCGCGTTTGGAACAATATTGCGGTTTCACGAGGCTTTACTTACCTTTACTTACCTCTACTTACCCTTACTCGAATCAGTTTTTATAATATATTTATTATAAGTGTTGCCGGGTTATAAGGGATGCCAGGATATAAAGAGTGCAGGGATGTAAAGGGTGATGGGATGTAAGGGGTACCGAGATGTAAGGGGTGCTGGGATGTAAGGAGTACTGGGATGTAAGGGGTGCAGGGATGTAAGGGGTGCAGGGTTGCATGGGGTGCAGGGATGTAAGGGGTGTAGTGATATAGGATTAAAATAATAAATAACATGATAATAAAATATTTTTAATGAGTTTATTCAGACGTGTTACGGCAAGAGAGGGATTGGTAAAACAGGCACGGTCGTCATACCGATTGTGTTCCGTACGTGCAGAACCCCAAAATCATGATCCCTCGCGAACAAAAACATATCCAGTCTTCTTGTATAGTCAATGTTGATATCATACAGTGACATGCCTTTGTTTTCGAAAAATCATGATTTTGGGGTCCCAGACACCCCAGGAGAATATGTCAGTATGCACTCATTAGTGCTTTGGGGTCCCAGACACCCCTGGAGAATATGTCAGTATGTACTCAGTCGTGCTTTGGGGTCCCAGACACCCCAGGAGAATATGTTGGTATGCAATCGTTGGTGCTTCGGGGTCCCAGACACCCCAGGAGAATATGTTGGTATGCAATCGTGGGTGCTTCGGGGTCCCAGACACCCCAGGAGAATATGTTGGCATGCAATCGTGGGTGCTTCGGGGTCCCAGACACCCCAGGAGAATATGTCAGTATGCACTCATTAGTGCTTTGGCGTCCCAGGCACCCCAGGAAAATACGTCGGTATGCAGTCATTAGAGCTTTGGGGTCCCAGTCACCCCACGAGAATATGTTGGTATGCAATCGTGGGTGCTTCGGGGTCCCAGACACCCCAGGAGAATATGTCCGTATGCAGTCATTAGTGATTTGGGGTCCCAGATACCCCGGATAATATGTCGGTATGCAGTGGTTGGTGATACGGGGTCGCTGATACCCCAAGATGACGACATTAGGTCAGTATGTAGTTACCAATGCTTCGGGGTCCCTAACACTCCAAGCCATTTACGCACCTACAGAGCAATGAACATCGAGGGACGCCGATCTACCTACTTGTAGTCACTGGTTAAGATATGATGGCAATCTTTTTCGCTATGCTAGTAGCCTTGTTGATTGAATTTTCCAACAGTACAAATACTGTTGCGAATATCAATTAGACAAGCTTGTTTACTAAATTATGTAACCAATAATATTTTACTGTAATCACAAATGAAATAGCGTTGAGTGTAAGGTATGAATAGACTTTACGTGCGCATTAAAGAAAACAATACCTACACTGAAAAAATTATGATCAGAATGAAAATTGAAAGAATCGAATTGTACTACAGAATTTATTAAGTGTAAATTGCAAATGCAAGTATGCAATACTTTGAAAATTTGTATGGAAATATCTACGTACATGTGCATATATATTAATTATGCATTTCTTTGCAATGCAGAAGCAACACCATATTAGGTACATATATATTCATATGTATTTGGTTGTATATCGTTTTCGATAAGATAAACGTGTTTTAGAGAGATTTTCTTTCTCGTTTCTTATAATTATGAATCTCTTTCCATTTTATGGCACGTCTAAATCCTGTTTTGTATTTACCGACGTAAGTAACTAAAGTTTAAGATCAGACTAAATACTGATAAGGTTGCAAATCTTACACATATGTATTATCGATTTATGGTTCATGTCTATTATAACTTTATCCTATGTAAAACTTCCTTATGATGATATAAAAGGGTTAAAAAAATACATCAAAATCAGTTAAGTGTTGTGACAGTAGGATCACCACAATTAGAAATATTTTTATTTGTAATATATATATTTAGCTATATCATAATCTTTTTCATATTACCTTTTATCTTTAAATGATTAGTTATAATTTCTGTAATCAGTAATTACTTATTTTAGTGATAGTCCAAGTAGCTAAAAGTATAATTATTTTTAATGTTATTAAAATAAAAGTAGACATTTAAAATTGTAATGTTAAAAAGAAAATACTTACGATTGTATTTTATTTTCAGAAACAGTCTACCAGTTTTATAACATTTTTAATATAAGGTATACTATTCAAGTAGCAAGTAGCATGTTCACAAAATGGCCAAGATAACTTTGGGTGTGAGCTTAACAGTAGAAAATTATTTTGGTATTTGAAAGGTATAGTAGTAATTTGTTCTTTTGATAATGATAAGATTAACATTTCTTAATGAATTACAGAAACTTCGTGTGATTAAAGATCACACAATGCATACTTGTTAATAGCGGAAAGGAAACAAAAGCTTTGCGCTAACTATAATGCTTATCTTTTTATTAAAATAAATAATTGTGTACCATGGTTCGACAAAGGCTCCCAAATATTAATGGTAACAGCTTTGGATAAAAATATGTGAAAAAATTGTAATTGCTTTAACTGAACAATCTTTATCTTTAACATAGGTGTTAGAAATAGTAAACATCTTGTATTAACGCTTATTACTGGTGTAATTTTTGGATTTCTCTCAGCGTGCCTTCTAAAAGCATCTACAAGAGATGTGCCATATATATTTAATTGGTTTTCTGGTAACCTTCCACTTTCAAGAGACCCACATCATTATTCAGAGCTGGAATCAGAGGTGCGAATACATTATCTGTAATTGGTAGCTTTCTTGTTCACATTTGTAATGTCATGGATACACGTAACAGGTTGGACCTGAAACAGAAGTAAAATTTCATGGGGCGGATGAAGATTTCCATAAAGGTGAAGATAAAGTCGCGCAGGATCTTGCAAAAAGGGTGCGCGTACTTTGTTGGGTCATGACAGGGCCTAAAAATCATCAAAGTAAAGCACAACACGTGAAAGCGACATGGGGCAAACGTTGCAATATTCTTTTGTTTATGAGCTCTGTCGAAGGTAAATTATAATAAGTTAAACATTGAAAAGAAATATTTGAATTAATATTAAATTTATTATGTCCAGATATAAATTTACCTGCAGTTGCTCTGCCGGTAAAAGAAGGGAGAGACAATTTATGGGCAAAAACCAAAGAAGCTTTTAAATATGTTTATGAAAAGTATAAAGACGAAGCTGATTGGTTTATGAAGGCTGATGATGATACGTTAGTGATCTATGTTTTACATTTTTCTTTCGCGCCACTTTTCAAATCCACTAAACGCGGGAAAATTTGAAATAGTGACTGAAAAGGAGCAATGTATATCTAAAATAAAATTCACGATACATTTTCAGATATGTGGTGGTAGAAAATCTACGGTATATGCTTTCATCATATGACCCAAGTTCGCCGCTGTATTTTGGCTGCAGGTTTAAGCCGTTTGTGAAGCAAGGATACATGAGCGGCGGTGCAGGATATGTACTTAGTAAAGAAGCTTTGCGAAAATTCGTGGAAGAAGCTTTGCCCGACAAGACAAAGTGTCGGGGGGACAACGGCGGCGCGGAAGATGTAGAAATGGGAAAGTGTCTTGAAAAGATAAACGTTAAAGCAATGGACACGCGAGATCCCCATGGTCGTGGACGATTTTTTCCTTTCGTACCGGAACACCATTTAATTCCAAATCACGTGGATAAGAATTTTTGGTACTGGAAGTACATTTATTACGATACCAAAGATGGTCTCAACTGTTGTTCCGATAGCGCTATATCCTTTCATTACGTATCACCAAATATGATGTACGTTCTGGAGTACTTAATTTATCACTTAAGGCCATATGGAATCACGCATAGCGTGGAGAAACCTACTGCGGATCAGTCAACTACTGTATTCACTGAATACTAGTCTATCTACAATATTAATCAAAATACTATAAATCATTTATGGATATGATGGCATATCACTTGCTATACACTACTGATGGGTAAATCTATCGTTAACAAGTGTCAGAATATAACGAAAAATTCAAATTAATTTGTAAATTTCGACACATTGAAATTATTGAGAAATCTTCAGAATGATAAAAATCCATAAATTATATATTGTTGTATTTGAAAAAGAAAAACTTATGGAAAATGTTTAAAAAATATTTTCCATAACAGTTGAACTGTACATCTGTAAACCCAACAGTAATAGCAAGTATAATTATAATTTTATTCCTCTCTGTTGTCACGTCATGACACTAGTCTATTTAGGCCAACGAATTAAACGTTAATATATTCACCAAAAGATGAAACGTGTGATACATACGGTATTTCATAATGATATATATAATATATATATATATATATATATACACACATAGATATAATGTTTATACGTACCTACATGTAATGATGAGAAATTTTTAATTTCATTCATCATTATTTAAGAGTCGAGTAAAATGTACACTATTCTATAAATAAATGTTACAAGCGCATTAGAATTGATCTTTTCTACCAACGAAATAATGAAGGAAAATGTAACAAGTATTCTAGAAAGATCTATTTTTCAAGTAAATAAAAGATGTGTAATCTAAACTAAAAGATTTCTTTTTATAAATTAAACGTTAAATATTATATTACTAGTAACTTGTCAAGAACTTGGTAAAATTCCTTGTAGAGAAACAACATAACGAATGTTTGAAGAAACGGAGAGGTGGTGATGTTTCCGATGATCCCTTTCGATTGCAATAAACATTAGAGGGAACGTTGTTTGCAACATCAGAACTGCAAGACACAGAAAATCGCGTGTATCGCGTGAAATGAGGTATATAATTATATATACACATAAAACTGTATTTCGTAATATTAATATAATAATGGTAATAATAATAATAATTAATAATAATTAATAATTAATAATAATAATCCCAATAATGATGTTCTACCCAGATAATAAATACTATAGATACAGTGTGAGTGTGGTGTGTGAGTAAATTAACCAATTAATTTTATAAGGGGGAGAGGATTAGGGGTTGCTATGTACAAGTCATATTTGTACTATGCGACTGACGCAATTAGCCACCATTGGCTTCCATTCAGACGCGCCCTGTATTCTCATCTCTTGTGTCTTTTATTTCTTTTCTTTTTTTTTTTTTTCATTTGCTCGTTTGTCCGTTAAATAATTTTCTTTTTCTTCTTCCTAAATTGCAGCAGGAACAAACCCTCTTTGTTCTCCGCTTTTTTTTTCATCCCTCAGCTCATTCTCAATTATCTAATTATCATCTCGGCGATGTCTCTCATTTGATAAATTATTTAAAAACAATATTTTACACTATTAATGTATGTATAATATATAGAGGTCACCTAATTCGAATAAAATTTGTCAAACAGCATCGAAAAATTGCGCTAACGGGTCCAGGAAACATGATAACAGTGACCCAGTGCCGCGCGGAGCATAATATAATTATAATATTATAATAATTGTCGTACTTATCTCACACCAGGGGCTTGTACGAGGCATTTCATATTTTTTTTTTTCGTTTACTTGTAAAAAAGAAGTATCGCCTCCCTTTCCGTTCTTCTTCTCATTTATATCATCTATATAAAATTAAAAAACAACGTAATATCATTTTATATTACTTCGTCGTTATTAATAATAAAAGCTTTGTACAAAATTCAATTTACAATTAAAAACGTTTTGGTTACGTAATTTTCTAGAGATTCTGATTCGTAATTGAACTATCTACCGATAGAGAGGCAATCGAAAGGTAAACTTCTTTTAACGCGCTCTCTTATTTTGTTTCCCCGTTTTTTTACACGCATCTCTCTCTTTAGTTCTCTCAGTCTCTCGCATGCAACATTTAACTTTCATTCTCGTCAGACTCCATTTTGGTATGCGGCAATTATATATGGTCGATAATCGTTATGATTATTGGTAAAACACAAAGTACAATCCATTCGTTTCTTTTTCTTTTTTTTTTCTCCACCTATTAAATTACAGAAATAGAAAAACTTTAACTATCGGGTCTGTATTACTAAGTCGCGAGGTGACTGAACACCGCGTGGTTAAAAAAATAAAAAAAAAAAAAAAAAAAAAGAAGAAAAGAGAACCCGAGTTACGCATTCGGAGGATCTTTAATCGAAGGATCGTTCTTTCCCGGTTATCCAGAGAAGCTGAGGGGTCTCTAATATACAGTTGAAGACGGATGTAGGAAACCAGTTGCTCTCGTAAAGCCCCAAGTGACGGTATTGGTAAAGGAGTGCGTGAAAGAGGTGCACATACTGCACTACGAAGAAAGAGGGTGTGGGTCAGACGAGAGCTGCCGCCGCATGGTAGAGCTGCATGAGCGCTTGCACGTGCACTGGTAAGCAGGATAGACGATCCTTCGTGTTCGCATCCACTGCGAGCCACGATAATGCATTGTATCCCTCCAGTACGTATCTGAAAGGTACCAACAATAAATATACTGATCAATTGAAAATTTTACTTGAACGAAATATTTCTCGATCACAGTCAATGACTTCCTGATTACTTAAGAATAATTATTTTATAAATTCTTTTTAAACCGAAAGTTCAGTGTATTAAGGCATTGACATAAACCTGAGCACATCGGTGGTATACTGCGAGTCTAATGGATGAGCAGTGAGCGCACTTTGTTGTTGCAACAGATCGTCACTATTCTGCTGTATTGCTGGACTATGCAAATGTAAGGCATTCTTCAAGAACACGGGGCAAACACCCTCAAGATGAGGACAAGCTGACCAAAACCACGGTGGCATTCGTCCTGTTGGTGCAGTAGATACTAGATAACCAAGAGCAAGTGGTTGCTGTAATAGCGTTCCAACTTCCTCTGCCTGTTCAGCAACTGCTACCTATTAATTTAAAGTATTATGGTCAAATTGTATATTATTCTGTGACACCACACTGTACCATGTATTAAGAAAATTTTAAGTTGCACTAGTGAGATAAGATGTAATTTCTAAGGATTAAATAACACAAAGTAAACTATTTCAGAAGAATCTGTGTTAATGTTTGCAATCGTACAGGGATTAAAAGCAAGTGTTTAAATTAATGTTAACTTACTCTTGGTGTGTTGCTACACGGAAATGGACTACCAGGACCATCGTGATTTCCTAAACCCGATCCACCACCATCTCCACCCAGTGGGGATCCTTCGGGACGATGCGGACTACCACCAGGGCTCTGTCCTCCACCAGCGCCAGCCTCCGGCCATACACCACTGAAGATATCGTTGAAGTCTCCCATACCTTCTATACCTTCGGGCATATCATCGTTCAGCGCTGAGAATAGTTCATCGTCTCCTAAATCTGGTCCGTTAATGTGTTGCTCTTGAAATGCAGTCTGTGATGACTGTATTAAAAAAATGATTTCTTTTAAAAATTTTTCCAGGGATTTCAAATGATTTGTCTTGTAAAATCTTTTAATGAATGTATCTCAAAAATAAATGAAAATAAAGAGTTGTACTATTTTAACATAGGATTATCTTTTAAATTAAGATTACTAGATTAATATAATAATATATAAATAATATTCACTCATTTTATAATGAAAATAATAGGAATTTATGAAACACAGTAAAACGTCGATTAAAGAAAATGTAAAAGAAATAATATAATTAAAAAAGTCTAGGAACGGTAATAATACTCATTTCCCAAGAACTAATGAATTTTCATTAACTGACATTTTATCGTGCTCCGCGCGAGGCTGATAATTGAACACAATTTACCTGAGTGGTAGCAGATGTGGGAAAGACGAGAATATGAGTACATGTAACGTCTTGTGGTGTGGATAATTGGCAGTTTACCGACGCCTGGCTAAATCTCTCATCGGGTGTGAATTGGTCAGCCATCAGCCTAAGAGTGGAATCTGGTTCAAGGGAAACTAAACAGGCGCTAAGCACGCAAGGTGCCGCCGACGGATAAAGAAGACTACACTGGCCGCATATTTCCTTCAGATGTTTCGAAGCTTTTAGAAGGGCTTTTCTAGATAACAACCAACTCCAACCTTTCAATTCTCCATGACCGATCCGACCCACGCGACCTACTACTAACCTCCACGGTTGTACCTAAAATAATAAATGAAAAGAGTCATCCATTTCAGAATAATTATCAACTACTCTTTCATTTTATTACGTCGGACGCTTTTAACATACACTTACACCTTGGGACATCACTCCAAGTATGAAATCCATTAACTTTTGCAATCCGATTCGTCTGGCCGAGGCGCGTTTCCTTCTCTTCCTGTTCGGTATGTCGATGTTGATGGTAGCCGTTTCGAATATCTCGCCTCTGTCGTCGGTAGCGACGGCGAGTAACCAAGATTGATCCTCGCTTAGGCAGTAGCTAAGATAAAGAACAGCGCATTCCTCCGGTCCGGCGATCCCAAACGATTCCGGTGCTTCGCTCTTGGCCCGTAGAGGGGCCAACACGTAGGCGGGTGCGTACAGTCGGTACGGTGCTCGATTCCGTTCCTGATGTATAGTTGCAACAGTATTACGACAAGACTGAAAATAATTTATTCAACGCCTGTTCTATACTACTTCCGTCGTTTCAATTGAAGAGAGAGAGAGACACAAGCAAATACAGTTGCGAAGGGATCCATCGAATATACTAGATATACAGAAAACGGAGTCTTACGTCTTTACTCTTAAGGAAAAGATCCGCGGCAGCAGCGGTACCAAAGCCAGTTAGACTTTTTACCGTGGAGTTATGGTTCAACAATCGTCGACCCTGCAGAAACACGTTTAAAGCTAAGGCTCTCATCTCGTCCTGTATCTTGCGCCTTTCCCTAGCTCGCCCTAACTCCATTATACTTTCCAAGGATATTAACTGGGGACAAACACAGAACACGTTAGAAAGCTCGTCTACACTATTTTTCACAGTCGACAGATAATTATGCGACGAAGGATTAATGTTTTGACTAAACGATGAAAATTCGTGTCTCACCTGAACGTTGATATTGGACCTAATGTTTTCAGGCATACTATTGACCGCGGCCGAGTATGCACGTAACAATGCTAGAATTGCGAGCCTTCGACGATCAGGATCTTCGGGGCCTCCTAGGGAGAACGGTTCTACTAGATAAACAACGACAGCCGGAGGTTCGACTTCCTCTTCGTCTGGACCCGACGTGGTATTAGTGGGTATCGTGGCAGTTTGAGAAGTTGGTGTCGTATTACCGGTATTAGAATTTGTATTTGTTGCGGTGTTCGACGATGGAGTTTCGCTTCTGGGATTTTCTCCCTCTGAAAATTTCACATTACAAACAATTACAATATTTGCTAATTTTTTCTATCTATGAGATAACGTTGGCAAGACGAATAAAAATTGATAACGTACCAACAGATTCAGGTTTGGTGGTCATTACGTCAGGCGTGGCAGGCATCGTGTCGGTAACAGGTATAGTTTGCTGTTGTTGTTGTTGCTTATTGATCGCCTGCGAATCTCCAGGATCTAACAAACTTCGATCTTGTATAACTTGCGTTAAATACGGGGCTAATCGATGATTACAAACTTGAGCGTATAATCGCAACAGTTCTCCCAATTGATTCTCTCCTAAAAGTTTAAACCAGTCGTCTATCGGTTGTTTTGTTTGCTTCTGCATAGATGATTTCCCTACGCGAAGAATCCCGTCGCGCAGTGCTTTCGAGATAGGTGTATGCCTTCCTAGCCGACAGATCTGAAGAAACGGAACAGAATTTTATATAATTGAAAGAGAAAGAAAGTATGTATGACATAACTGTTTCACTTACTTCGTACGTAGTTGATAGTTCACGGAAAAACGATTTCACTTTATTGACGACACAGTCGCTGTCCGGGGCGACGACCACGTAGGCAACGTCCCTGGGCCCGGCGTATGGTTCTAGAAGTAATTTTTCCCAATAGCTCAACGCGTAAGGAGACAATGATAGCCAGTCGCGATCGTAACCGACAACCAACGCGGGTATCGGTTGAGGTTCGCAGCGATCGTCGGTACCGCGTCCGGCTAAACGATGGAACTGCCTCCAGGTGAGAGGACCCGCAACGGTGTACGGTGCCTCCCACATTCGCGTGGTACATTTCTTCTGTACAGCGTCTTGCAACAAAGGTTGCAGTGCCCTCATCATTCTTACGATATCACCACTACACTGAGGACCTTTAGCTCTGAGGAACACCCATCGATGCACACCGTTCACGCGATTAGTCCTCTCGTTATGGGTACCGTCGATTTTACCCTGATCGAGGGCCGCCAACGACACTTCGTTCCCGTCGTTGAACTCGAGGGTATTCACTGTTGGCGCGAGCATCGGGTAACTCTTCATCGCTGCGTAGATCCTAGACGCTCTGTACAGGCTGCTCGCGGAACTCTGCACGATCAGACATTGTTCTCTGAGTAATTCTAACACGTTAGGCGGTATCGCGTCTAAACCTTCCGATGTTTTCCCACCACCGCACGCGACAGCTACCAACGACGTTTTCTTCTTCTCCGAGGGATCCTCGGCGATCCCGGTGATCTCCATCTCGTCCTCGTAGAAGAGGCCAGCTTTGTGTGCCAACCGTCGATTCACAACCGCGCTAAATCCGCAGCTGCATCTGATCTGATCGTCGTCCTGGTACAAAGCACCGGCCGACCACGAGTGGGTCAGATACACCCCGGCATCCGCGCCTTTGATGTTCCCGACAACCTTAGGACCCGCGTTACACACGCAAAGGCTGCAACTGTCGAAATTGTGGTCGCGAAAAATGTTGAGCGCTGTATCGCCCAATAGGATATTCACTATAAGAGAGTTCGATTCTGGTGCACGAGCGGGTCCCGGCGTGTCCGCCTCAATACTGTTCAGGTTTTTGTTCAAATACGACGAAGTGGTAGAGGTTGCAGGACTCGGTTGGTCGTACGGCGGCGGTGGTGGTCGTCCGGTGATGGTCGCCGAGCGATACGGCGCTCCTAATGGCGCCGGGCTTGGTGGTGGTTGTTGCTGGACCGAGCCAGGTCTGGTTGGCGGTAGCGGTTTATCTGTATTGTTGGAAGTAGGATTGCACTGCCAAGAAGGTCTGTACACGCAGTGCGACGGCAGTGTAACGGGCGGTAAAGATTGG